GAAGAATTAGAACCAATAGGAGGAACCACCAGAAAGAGAAAACAAAGCAAAAGAGAAAAAAAATAGCAAATATTATGCTTCGATCTGCATTTAAACTCCATAGTTCTTTCTTTGGATGTGGATAGCATTTTCCATCATGAGACCTTTGGAGATGTCTTAGATCCTTGCATTGCTAAGAAGGGTTAAGTCTATCAAAGTTAGTCATCGTGCAGTGTTCTCCTGGTTCTGCTCACTTCACTCAGCATCAGTCCATACGAGGCTTTCCAGGTTTTTCTGAAGTCTGCCTGCTCATCATTTCTTATAGCACAATAGTATTCCATTACATTCATATACCACAGAAGTTTTAAGTTTTGATAGCTTAGTACTACTCTGAGACTTTTTGGACACCCTATATATCATTTTGCTTGCTTGGCTGTGAAGGTAACAAGTGTTCATCAAAGTGAACAAATAGCCAGTTATTGCAGGGTCCCAAGGGATTTGTAAGATTGGGGGGGGGGAGAAATTAAGTAATGTCTGCCCCTTTGTTTGCCCCCCCCTTCAGTTGTGACTATTGTTTTGAAAAAAATAACAAGGGGGACAGTTAGGTGGCGCAGTGGATAGAGCAGCAGCCCTGAAGTCAGGAGGACCTGAGTTCAAATCCAGCTTCAAACCAAACACTTGACATACTAGCTGTGTGACCCTAGGCAAGTCACTTAACCCCAGTCGCCTAAAAAAATAACAAAAAAATAACAAGGACAAAAGAGTACCTTTAGCATACAATCTCGGTTTCAGATTTGGCTAATGAGAAATTTTTATTGCTTTATTTGGTTCTCAGTCAACCTATGTTCAAAGAATTCACTGATCGGTAAACATAATGAAAGTGTGGGAGCTAGAAATGGTTTGCACCACTGTTGCTAACAAGCCGCTAATGAAATTATGCTTTTGTGGCAAAGGTTGACATACTGGGCTCCTGATAGTCTCTGGAATCCATCCTTTTTCCCTAAAATAAACTGTAGCCCCTTGATTCGCTGGAAAATTGGCATAATTAGCTCTCGTGCCTGGTGTCTTTCTTTTGATCTTCTCATCCCTTGCAAGGTCAGCCTTGTGGGTCAGCGTAGGTATCTTTTGAGTATGTTTGCTGTTATTTTTTGATCTCATTGATATGGCACCTGGGATGGTGTGCATCCCAACCTGTCTTCTTATCTTCTTAGGTAAATTGTAGGTTTGACCATGTTACCCTCCAACTCTAGGGAGATCCTGTTGCATTTAGGGTCAGATATAAACTCTGTCCCTTCTGCCCCCAGCTTTAAGTGTCCTCCCCTAATAAATTATTGTGTTGATTTTGATTGTATATTATATATTATATTTGATATTGATTATATTGTTTGATATTTATTTTATGCATAATTATATAGTGTAAATATTGTCTTTCCAGATAAAATATAAGATTCTCGAGGTCAAAGACTAGTTAATTTTTGGCTTTGTATCCTCAGTGTATACCACAGTATCAGGCACATAGTAAAGCTCTTAATAAATGCCTGTTGATTGAATGATTAATTTCATTATCTTAGGTTTAGATGTTTGTTGCCGCCATTTGAATAATATGGGAAATATTGGCATTAAGATGGTAGTCTCAGGTAGAAAGACCAAATGGACTAAATGGCTTCTGAGATCCCTTCTAGATCTCAATCTGTGGTTCTGTAATCAGTTTTGGAGGGGCAGTCAGAAGATAGGCGTATCAGATCAATACTGATTGAACTTTGAATTGATTCAGTAATTCTGGAAAACAACTTGGAATTATGCAGGAACACTTACAAAATTGCTCATGCCTTTTCACCCCAAAATTATAGCTCTGGTACTATCCCAGTGAGGTTATTGATAGTAAGGAAAGAGCTCTTTGTACAAAAATGTACACAGCAACATTATTAATGATAATTAAAAAGTTGGAATCAATATATGTGCCCAACAGTAAGGGAGTAGTTGAGCAAATTATGGTATAACAATTAATGGAATCTTATTTTGCCATAAGAAATATAAATGTGAAAAATTCACTTGGGAAGCTCCATGAAATGTAGGCTTTCATGAAATGATACAGAAAGAAGAAGGGAGGGCAAAAAAACCCCCCAACTACAATAACATTAATAAAGTCAAGAGGGAGCGGCAGCACATTTTTGCTTAAGTGCAGACTGTGTTCTAATCGATCTGCCAGTTTTCAGGCTCTCCCTTCTCTAATTCATCCTTCACATGGCTCCTAAAATATTCCACATCATTCCATTATCTAAAAGCCCACAGGGTGTCCCTATTATGTATGGGATAAAATAGAAACTACTTAACCTGACATTTAAGGCCCTCCACAATCTTACTCTAAACTATCTTTCCCTTATTACCTCATGTTATTTCCTTTGGCTTACTCCAGTTTCCTGCCATACTGAACTTCTGGCTCTTTCTTACGTTCTTAGGTATAGAAGGTAATGTCAGGTTATCCCACCACTGTGCATTTGCCAGAGCTATCCCGACTTCCTGTAATGACCTCCATTGTCTTCTCTTCCTCTCAAAATCCTTACCTCCTCTTAAGGTTCAGCAACTTTGCCATTTCTTCTGAGAAGCCTTCCTCAGATTATGTAATAATGACTTATTTTTGTACGTGTTGTAAGCCCCAGTGAAATGTGGGTTTTTGGAGAGCAGGTACAGATTTTTCTGTCTGTGTGCCTGTCTCTTAGGATAGGGCCTACACATACAATGCGCACCTTATTAGGTGTGTGAGCTGAGCCAGAGTGAGGGCCGGAGATGACCAGTGGCAGTCGTTCTTACCTCTACTACCATGAAGTCTTTTTTTCTTTCATGTTTTAGTTTTGTTTTAAATGACCATATCCTGTATTTTAAAATGAGTATTATTTGGTTCATACCTTCTGTGCGGAGTCATGTGAAAGGAATAATTTTGGAAATTCATGTACTACAATTTGTTTCTTCTCTAATTGATAGGTATCTACTTTGTTTCTAATTTTTTTTTTTTGCTAATGCAAAAATGTTGCTGTAAATATATAGGTGTATATGGGAACATTTTTCTTAGCAGTGGCCTCCTTTGGGTATAAGCCTAGTAGTATAATCTCCTGATCAAAGTATATGGAAATTTTAGTCATTTTATTTGCATAATTCCAAGTACTTTCCAGAATTTTTTTTTATTGACTCACAGCTCTACAATACTTTTTACTAGTGTGCCTAACTTCCCACAGCCCCTCCAACATTAACTATTTCCACATTTTGCTAACGTTGCCAGTTTGCAGGATGTTAGGTGAAACCTCAGAGTTGTTTTGATTTGCGTTTCTCTTATTATTAGTGATTTTGAGCATTCTTTCATATGGTTGTGAATTCTTTGCAGTTCTTTTGAGAACTATTTGTTCATATCCTTTGACCACTTATCTATTGGATATGAAACCTTTATCAGATAAATTTGTTAAAGATTTTTTTCCCAGTCTAGTGCTTCCCTTTTTATCCTAGGTGCATTGTATATCATATGTCTGTTAATTGTTTTTATACCTTGGATAACCTTTATTAGATAAATTTGATAAAGATTTTTTCGCATTCTACTCTTCCATTCTTATCCTAGGTGCATTAATTATCTTTTGCTAAAGCTTTTCAGTTTTATCTTTATCCTTTGGTTAAGAGTACATCTCCATTTATATAATGCATCCTTCTGTAAGACAGCAAGAACCTTAATAAGTTAGCTGCTGGATGAACTGACAGCAGGATGGCTAATCCATGATATATGAAACAATACTAATTATTAATAATTAATTTTTGAAAAAGCTGTTAAAACAGTTATCGTCACTTGAGAAAGTTGTCTTAAGGATCTGTCATTCATTACTTTGCAAAGTGCACCATTCTGTCCTCCCCTCCATCTTTGTGATTGGTAAACATTTTCTTAGGAAAGAGGTTATGGAGTCCGTGTCCTTCTTTAGTCTTCTGTTGAAGGCAGGGAATTGGTCTCCCTTTTATAGATAATGAGGCTGAGCCAAAAGGATAAGGTGGTAGAGACTGGAGAGAAGCTAATAAGGCACAGTTCACTGCTTGTCCATTTGTTCCCACCGTATATGCTTAGGGTCAAACCAGCTTGGGAAGATCTTATTCCGGTGCTGTTTTTTATTATATAATCTTTGGCAATGACTCTTTGCTGCAGCCCAGCCCCGTCTTCTCAGCATTGAACCCTTCCCTGGATTTCCCTGCCTAAGCTGCTCTGCAGGCTAGCTCTTATCCTGAGCATGTTGATTTCCGTTTCTCTGTTTTTGCACTTACTCTGTCCTCTGTCTGGGTAGTCCTTTGCCTCCACTCTGCCAATTTGTGTCTCTGGCCTCTTTCCACGTAGCCTCCCTAGAGCCAACACACCTCCTAACACCAATCACACCTGTACTGTACATCTCTGGAACACTTAAGCATTCAGTTTACAGTGTCTTATTTTTCATTTACTGACTTGTTGCTTTGTAATTGTGTTGGAGTTATTTTGTATGCTGTGTATATTTTGTTTTCCTAACTGTATAATAAGCTTCTTAAAGCAGGTACGACTCTTTCTTTTATGCTCACCCACAGAAGATTCTAGTACAGGGCTTCTAAGCATTAAAACATGAAATAAATCCTATTGTTTGATAACTAGTTCACCCAAGGAGTGAATGCTTAGGTTCTTATTGGCATCACATTGATTGTTTCAGATGCAGGGATTCACCTGTTCCTTACTATAGGCATGGGGCCACAGGTATGTGTGTAGGCAAGAGTGGAGGAGCCCATTTAAGGGTGCATCTGGAAGACATGTATCTAAAGGGTTTGGCATTTTTAGTGCTTAAATTCAGCTTTTTTGGCACTTGTCACTCTCCCCTGAGTGAGAGGCTGGAGCTTCTCACCAGCAGGAGCAGTCTTATGTCACACAAGTTTGTGTGGGTGAGATAAAACTCTTTCAGGGTTTGTCTGAACCCAGAATTCCCTACTTTCTACCCTAGGTTTAATGTAGTGTCCCTCCTTTTGGCTTTTAGGTCAAGCTGTCCCTGCTGGTTCCCATGTGCGTCTGAATCTACAGACTGGAGAGAGAGAAGTAAAGCTCCCAGATGGGGAAAAATACCAGAATAACTTGAAAGAGCAAAAAAAAGGCCAAAGGTAAAAGTATAAGACCCAAGGGGACCTGGTTTATGGCGTTGGTTTCTGTAATATTTCTGACATTAACTACAGTAATATTCCTTAATTCAAAGTACAATAAAAAGCCTCATGAATCCAATACTCACTGATTTAGAATTTGTGTTAAAGCACCTAGGAATGGACTGAAGTTTACCTTTGTACTAGCATCACAAAGCAAATGAATAGTTTGAGCAAGATTTTAGAAGGGTTTAACCTTTAACAAAACACAGCTGTTCCTAAGAACTTAAAGATGAACTAACTATTTGCATCCCAACAGTTAATGAGCTGATTATAGATGAGCCTTATTTATTCATTAAAGCAGGTCTAGCAGCCCTTCTATTTTTTTTAATCAGTGCTCTTTTTTTAGAAAGCAAAAAAATCTGCATTAAAAAAAGTTATAATTCAGAATTTTCACTAATTCACAAAACCTCCAGTTTGTTTAAATTACAGCAGCTTTATGTAGTCTAGAAATTAAAGTACTATTTTAGCGGTTAGCTTACCCTGTTGTTTAATGTTGAACATCTGGACAGTGGAAATAAGAACACTTGTACTGCCTACCTCAAAAGTGTTGTATGGAAAGCCTTAAAGCGATATTTAAATGTGAGCTATATAATATTAGGTAACTTGAATCCAAATAATTCATTTGTACTCTGTTCTTTGTATTTTGAATGAATACGTTATCCTTCCACAGTGTGTCCCTTTGTATGGGGTTTAGTGTATCTCTCTCTCTGTGTCTCTCTCTGTCTCTCTTGTGTTGTGTGTGTGTGTTTCTCGTATCTGAGTGGATTTCATTTTGAATAGCTAATATAGATGTGTGATTGAGTTTGCGAAGTCAAGGTTTTTGGTTGGAAACCTCTGATGAGCTTAACATAGTGACGACCCATCTTTGTTAGTTCAAATCCAGCCTCAGACACTTACTAGCTGTGTGACCCTGGGCAAATCACTTAACCCTGTTTGCCTCAGTTTCCTCATCTGTCAAATGAACTCGGGAAGAAAATGGCAAACTGGGGCAGCAAGGTGGCGCAGTAGATAGAGTATCTTGTCCTGGAGTCAGGAGGACCTGAGTTCGAATCTGGCCTCAGACACATAATACTTAGTAGCTGTATGACTCTGGGCAAGTCACTTACCCCCAGTTGCCTCACCAAAAACCAAAAAACAAACAAACAGAAAAAAACAGTGGCAAACTACTCCAGTATCTTTGCCAAGAAAACCTGAAATGGGGTCATGAAGAGTTGGACACAACTGAACTGATTAACTGGAAAAAATAATTTTATTTAGCCCTCACCTACAGGCACAGTTGCTCCTGTGGCACTCCAGGGTTATTTCCCACAAATTCATGGCACTTTTCTTCAGTTGGATAATTGATTGGGCTTTGTAAGCTTGTTTATAACCTATATCTGATAACCTTGTCTCCTGTTTCACTGACTAGATTGAGATAATCGGAATTAATTTTTCATTAACATTCTTTTAATTCCCTCTGGTCACAGAATAGGTGTCCCTGCTTTTTTTTTTTAACCCTAATCCTTCTAACTGTGTGCCATTGTAATCCTATTGTCTTCTGTCTCTTTACATCAGATCTTGGTATTCATCTTTCTTTTGTTCATTTTCCTTTTCTCTCCTTCCACCAGCTCCTCCCATCAGCCAAAAAATATTGAAATATTTTTCCCAGTCCTAAAAAACCTTTCTTCTATCTGGTCCAGCTACAACTTTCCTCCCTTTCATTGATAACTACTTCTTCTTCTTCTTCTTCTTCTTCTTCTTCTTCTTCTTCTTCTTCTTCTTCTTCTTCTTCTTCTTCTTCTTCTTCCTCCTCCTCCTCCTCCTCCTCCTCCTCCTCCTCCTCTTATTGGGGTTAAATGACTTGCCCAGAGTCACACAGCTAGTGAGTGTTATGTGTCTGAAGCTGGATTTGAACTCGAGTCCTCCTGATTCCAGGGCTTGTGCTCTATCCACTACCACCGAGTTGCCCCCTCATTGTTAACTTCTTGAAAAAATTTATATATGCCTCAGATTTCCTTTCTAATTGATCCTGTTTAATCTAATTTCTTCCCCACCCCCCACCTCCTCTCCACAGGCATCCTATTCAGTCTGTACTTCTTTGTCAACCAGTGACCTCTTGAAATTACTAGATTTAGGGACAGCTAGATGGCACAGTGGATGGAGCACTAGCCCTGAAGTCAGGAAGACCTGAATTCAAATGTGGCTTCAGACACACTTACTAGCTGTGTGACCCTGGGCGAGTCTCTTAATCCCATTGCCTAGCCAAAAAAAAAAATTAAACAAACAAACACAACAACCCTTTATCCTCAAACTCTATGAAGTTTTGCCACTGTTGATGATCCTCTCCTCCTAGATACTTTTTTTTCTCTTGGCAGAGGTGCCATAGTTTCTTTATTTTCTTTGTATTTCTCTAGCCACTTCTACCTCCTTTTCTCCTAAGCTCCTTGTTGTGGGTGTGTCATTTGAGGGTTCTGCTTTTGCCCTATCACTTTAGCAGTCTTGTTTTGTCACTGTAGTTTCAACTAAAATCTCTAAGCAGATGACTACTAAATCTCTGTCTTTAGGCCTGATCTTCTTCTGAGCTCTAGACCCGCATCTTCCTGTAAGACATTTGTACCTGCATGTTTCATTGATGCCTCAAACTTTTATCTGAAACTGAGCTTCTCTTCCCCTAAATCTACTTCTCTTGACTTGGTTATTTCTACCTGTGGCATCACCATTTGCCCTATCTCCTAGCTGTGTATCTGTTGGTAATTCTCTGTGTTCCTTTACCTGTTATATCAGATGATGTTGAGTTCTCAGCAGCATCTCATATCTGTCTCTTCTTCTCTTTTCCTCTTGTCATCAGCCCAGTACAGGATGCCATCATTGCCTTCTCTGGGCTTTTTCCTCCTTACAGATATCTCTGTCTGCATTCTCTTTCTTTTTCCATTCCTCCATTCATACCATTGCCAGACCAATGGTCTTATGCAAAGATCTTTTTTTCTAGTCTGTGTGTTCAGACGTCTTCAGTGGCATCTAGTTGTCTTTGAATTAAAATTCAGCCTCCTCCACTTGCCATCCAAAGCCTGCCACAGTCTTTCACCAGCTCATCTTTAGTTTACTCTTCACAGCAGACTCTACTCTCTGCTTCTGCCCCCTCATAGGCACTATACTCCTAAGCCTTTGGAAGCCCAGTGCCATTTATAGGGCTGTTGCTAGTATCCAGTGTTTTGAACTTGAGCAGTATCTCATTTTTGGAGGGATACCTCTGTGGTCATGGCCCTGTTTGACACCTGATTCTTCCCTGAGGGAGCTCAGCAATTCCATGCTTCTTGCATGTTCATTCTCTGGCACTTTCATAACTCTGGCTTTTTAAAGACCTTCATAACTTGACCTTTTCCAGGGCAGCTAGATGGTGCAGTGGATAGAGCACTGGCCCTGGATTCAGGAAGACTTGACTTCAGATCTGGCCTTAGACACTTGACACTTAACTAGCTGTGTGACCCTGGGTGAGTCACTTCACCCCATTGCATGAATGCATAAATAAATAAATGAATAAATAAATAATTCGACCCCCTTCCTACCTTTGCAGTTTTCTTATACCTAATTTTCTGTGACACTGACTTTGCAGTTCCTTGAATGAAACACTCCATCTCTTCACTGGCTCTTTCCCATTCCAGGAATGCTCTCCATCTCTGTTTCCTGGCTTCCTTCAAGTCCTAGTGTCTGCAGGAAGCCTTTCCTAGTCCTCTTTAATTTTAATCTCTTGAACAGAAATATTTGCATGTTTTTTTCCCCTCACCTTGTGCAGGGTTGCCCTTCCTTGTATCCCCAGAATCTTGCACAGTGACACATAGACACAAAAATAAATACTTGTTGGCTCCAGAGCATAGAAGTGGCCTGAGGAAATAGATTGTGAATAAAGTGGAGGCCACCGAGACTCATCCTTGTCTTTCCATTGGTTTCCCAATGGGTCTTATTACCTTTTCTACAGAAGCTACTCCACCAGCAGCTCCTTAATGAAAGAGAGTGATGTGAGGACCTAGAATGCTGAGACCCTTGACCTTGAATTTTTCTGGCCTGCCTTTTGCAGTGGGCGTCTTCTTGGTTCAGTGCGCCTTGCCTGAATATTCTGGCTGTATTTTCTTTCCTGATTTTTCATCCATACTTGTGTTAAAGCTGCTCTTTGAACATCTCCACATTGTTGTATCTTTTGCTTTATGCAAAGTTATTCTTTTGTTTAAAGCTCTTTTAGAAAGTTTCCAGACAAAAGTCTCTAAGAAGTAATGGCTCACATTTATAAAATCACAGTATTCAGATCGAAAGAGGAGCTAACTTAATTATACAAACAGTGCATCACATTATAGGTATTATTCCAGAAATCAACAGTATTTCCATGCAGTATTTTCTACAGTTAATTTTTATTGTATTTTTCCTTAATTACATGTAAACAAACATTTTAAGCATATTTTTAAAATTTAAGTTTTCTTTTGTTATATTTTAAGCTCCAGATTCTTTCCCTCACTCCCTCTTCACCCTGCAGTGGAGAAGGCCACCATTTGACACACCCATGTGCATGTACACACATGTGCACACCTGTGTATGTGTATATGTATATAAATCCATACTATACATCTATTTATCAGTTTTTTCTCTGGAGGTAGATAGCCTCTTCCCTTATAGGTCCTTTATAGTTACATTTAAGTATTTGTAATACCTAGAATAGTTAGTCATTCACAGTTATTCTTTGAACAGTATTGCTGTCACTGTATACAATGTTCTTTTCGTTCTGCTCATTTTATTCTTCATTATTTCATGCAAGTCTTTCCATGTTTTTCTAAAATCAACCTGTTCATCATTTCTTACAGCACTGTAGTGTTTCATTGCAATCATTTACCACAAGTTGTTTAGCCATTCCCCAATTGATGGGCATCCCCTCAATGTTCACTTCTTTGCCACCACAAGGAGAGCTGCTATAAATATTTTAGGACATATAGGTT